TTTAATGAAACTAACTCAAATCTTCTCCCTTGGATTCCATTGTTACTCTTTAGTATCCTGTCGGAAACTCGCATCTACCGTACTCTGCATATTCACATTAAATTAAAGTATTAAACCAATCAGCTTCGTAATTAAACCAAAAGACCAAGTTGATACCCAAAATACTACTACGCCCTTTATAGGATTCTCTCTAACCCAACCCATAAAACAAACTATCCCCTGGATCACAACAAGCGCCACGTCACTAGCGATCGATGTTCACGTGGGAACATTTGACTACTGTCTTCCACAAACTTTTGTTTTTGGACCGCATCTAGAGAGAGATCCCTGACTACCAAAACATGCGCAACCCTAGAAGGCGTAGGATAGCATGAATGCTTCCACACCCAATCTTAACCTGCGCCACATTTAATTAAAAAAATAAAAAACAGAGAGTGATTAGATACGCACTCGGTGGCTGGCTGACGACGTAGGCGGCGCCGCCGAAGTAACAGCTGCCGGCGAGGCGTCCTTTCTTCTGGTAGTAACTGTTGAAGGCAAAGGAAGCGTGCGCCTCGAGCGTGTCGGGGCTGTAACACGTAGCACCTGGCTGAATCGAACGGCAATCAGCACCTCCCTCACCGCAAGCGTAATCTAGACCTCCCTGTAGCCGTTCCTTCCCCGCATCTCCGTTCGCCACACACCACGAACTCCCCGTCAAGCTCTTCGAAACGCCGCCGCTGCTTTTCGGTGGCTTCACATGCTGGTCTCCGGTCGTCGGAGGATGACCACCGTCACGGTAATGTTTCAGCCCTTCGGTGGTGAAGGGAATGTCGTACACTTTCTTCTCGTCCGGGAAGAAGAGACCGTAGTTCCTTTCCGACGTGGGACCCGTTTTCTTGTTCTCGTTGAAGAGAGCGAAGAGATAGACCGTCAGATCTGCTTTGGGTCTTAAAGGGGTCCCACCTCCGGTCAAGATCCGACGGATGAGGTTTCCGTTGTAAGACGCGGCGTTCGCCAAGGTAGCTCCGACCTCGTTCTCGTCTCCTTTCGACGGCCAGCCAGTTTCCGTCACGACGATCTCGATGTCGTCGTACTTCAAAGCCGACATTGCGGCGAAAACGGCGTCGATCTGAGCGTCGAAGAGATTGAAGTACCTCAGACCGTTACCGGAATCCACCATTCCCGGATTCTCTCTGAGCAAGGCGTAGTCGAGGGGAATGACGTCGGAGTTCCCTTCGTAGGCGAAGAATGGGTAAACGTTGATCATGAGTCGCGACCCGCTTTCGCGCAGGAAATCCAACATTGGTTTAATGACGAGGTCGACAAGTTCCGGTCGGAAAGATCCGGAGGAAGAAGGGTAAGAGTTCTGGAGAGCGCTTAGAGCGAGAGGCGAGGAGATTTTAATGGCGGAGTGGAGATTGTAACTGACGAGAGCTTTGTGAATGTTTCTCATAGCCGGGATTAGGAAACTTGTGGTGTTGTGTGTGTCGACGAAGACTTCATTGCCCACTGCGATTGACTCGATCTGTGTCGAAGGATGGTATGCGGCTACATTGCGTTTGACCCATGTAGCGGCGAAGGAAGCTCGTTTCGCGGCGGAGAAGAGGATTTCGTTTGGGAGATCCACCGTGACTCGGATCCCAGATCCGGATAAAGCTTTGAGAACAGCCGGGTCAGCATCGAAGATCTTGACCCGGTCGATTCCTTGAGATTTTAGTAGCTGTACTACTTTAACAGCGGAAGGGAGCTCGTCGGAGATTCGGCCGTAGTTTACGCCGATGGAACCAGACTCTGCAAAAAGACAAAACACAAGAACAGAAAATGAGAATGCGGTTTGTCAAAAAATGTAATCTTTTCAAGGAAAAATGATAGAACATTTTTACCTGAGAGTGAAATGGGCGAAACAAGGACAAGGAAGATGAAAGCTGCGAGAAAATCCATACTCAACTTCTGC